AGTCAGAATTGTGAGATAAAAAGTCGCAATAACCTTTTTTTTTTTCAGTGCCGGAAACGGGCTTCCATAGCCTCGATTAAACATACTGCTTTAGAAAAAAAAATGCCTTCATGCAAACATCCAATCGTTTTGGAATCATCTGTCTTTATTTGTTCTATAAGCCCTGAAACGTTTGCATGATTTGCAGTGAACCGTGATAATGAGACGAAGACAATTTGGCTCCAGGAATCAAGAAAAATCAAAGATTCTCACGTGGTGCAAAAATCTGCCCTCGCTAGCATGGACCACTGCCTTCGCGAGCGTCACACATATGGGGTCTGGCATGCCGGTAATGCGTCTGAACGCCACACTTATCTGCTCGGCACATGGGAGCAAGAAACCAAGAAAGATGTGGACCCCTGGGAGCCGGTAACCTTGAAGCCCACTGAAGCAGTGGTGAGGAGAGACCACTGGAGTGCATTAAAACAAAGTCGAGGGATATCGAGGCCATAAGACTCGGACACCTGACTGTTATGGTCTTATCTTGGGGAAAAGTGGAGTGCAGCAGTGTCAGCTTTTGCAGGGGGACTGATTTCATCAGTAATGAAGTTTGGAGCGAAACTCTCCTACAAGATAAAAGCACACCTCAATCCGCACACAATCCCCGAGAGACGTAGAGGGAACCTGGGCTAGCTGAATGATTTTTTTTTCGTTTTGCTTTTTTGTGTTATCAATTCAGAGTGTGATTGTGGCTGACCGTGTGACTGGATCAGGTCATCACTGGTTAACCTCTGGTAGGCCTGTGAATCTCCCATATATCACATAAGTTGCGGATAAACCAACCATTGAATTACAAACAATTCTCTGCTATTGTGAACATAAAGTGGAAAATCAATGGCACTGTGACCATATTTCGGAATGGGATGATATTTGATGGACAGAAAGTCATGAGATTGGTGGCAATATGGCTGTGTTCGGAATGGTATACTACTCTTATGGTTTTCTGCAGCATATAGTTTGAATACTATATTTACTAAAAGGTGCAACAATGCATGCTTCACTATGTACAATATTCCACAATGCAATGCACCGAATCATCTAATATCAACCATCTCTTTGTTGCTTACAAATTGATGACAAATGTTGACAAATAATTAAAAATAATAAAACATTTGAACTTTAAGATATTAATATAAGGCATTAATATATATCCTAACAATATATAAATAAAAATAAAATACAAAAATAAATAATTACATTTATATTTAAATCACACATGACAATAATTTAGCATACTAATAATATTTGAAATGCATACTGTCCAGGCATATTATCATTAATTAACACAAAATAAAATAAATTAAACCTAAACAGTAATATAAAAATAATAATGATAATAAAAATGACAGAAGCACACAACAAAATTACTAAGAATTTAACAAATTAAAATGCAAACTGAAAATATAAAAACAAAAGTGAAATTAAATTTTAGAAAGACTATAATAGAATATAAATAATTATAAAAATATGATTTTTAAAAACAGCCATCATACGGTGTATACTAAATAGTATTCCATAAGCTGGTATTCAATTCCTATTTTTTAAACCCATATCTGTGTCCATAATTTCTATACTGGTTAAAACAGAACATATAGAAGCATATATCACTGGAGGGAAATGAGAAAACCTTCAGAAAACATGCCGACAACCTCGTATGGAGGGAAAAATTGATTCCCACATGTACGTTTGTTCAAGCGGTTAATAACAAAGACAGGAATGAATGAAAGATCGGAGAACTCAAGTAGAGAACGAAAACAATTCACAACACCTGCACAAACAAAAAGTCAGAAAGAGAGAACAGGGAAATAAAAGGAGGATAAAGATAAGATGGGAAAACCACATGAGAAGATCGGCACAGGTGACCACCACTGAAAAACATGACCTGAAGAAAAGGACAAGGGAAAACAAATGGAGAACTGCAGGATCCTGAAGCCCACAGATCTTCCACCTGACTCTGTTAACATTTATAAAGACATGTAAAATGTTCGCTACTTGCACTTTAGTTTAACCTTGAATGTTATTCTGTATTTGTTAAAAAACAACCAAAAAATTAAATAGTATTATGGATCATCTGTCCATAACTTGTGTTTGATACCCTTACAGCCAGATATTAATTTACTCCCCATATTGTGCTGACAAAGTCAGGTGGACATCATCTGAAGACCTGCAAACTTGAATCATGGGAAGGGATACTTGACTGTCTAAAGGAAAGTAAGGTAAATGCAGGAAGAATGGATGGGGGTTTCGAAAAAACGGGACAAATGAACAGTACCTGCAGGGGTGAAGGTGAACGACTGAACTGCAAAAACAAGAAGACAGAGAAGAGTGCGTGTTAAAAAGCCTGCAGTGCTCAGCCGGGCTTTGGAAGGTTTGTGTGTTTCTGTGCGTGTGCATGATTATTCGCATGCATCCTGCAGTGTGTTCGAAGGTTTGGTCAGCAGCCAAAGAAATGAGACAGTCTCACACAGAAGACACACAAACACACTTAAAATAAAGAGTAAACAACCCAACAAACAAAAAAAAAAGACTGTGTTTCAGTGGCAACTGGTGCTTTTCAAGAATGGGAAAGCACAGATATAACTTATAAATGGGAAAATGTGTACTTTATTTTTATTTATTTAGTTAGTTTTTTATATCTACAATAAACAGTTGAAGTACTTAGAAAATATTAAATAATAATTTAGAATTGTAGTTTTTCTTAACCCTTATGTTGTGTTCTGGTCATTTTGACCTGGAAAATGCTAGTTAATTTTATTGCATTGTACTAAAACCTACTGATTTTGCACACACAGGATATAACAATGTCCCTCCAAATAACTGGATAATTTTTGTACTTTTTTCTCCACCTTGTTAGACTTAGTGTTCCTGGTCAAAAATAACTGGCTTACAAAAAAAATACTCATGAATTTCTTGTTATGCTATATCATCAAATATTATCCAAAAAATATATAAATATATAAGTCTTTTTTATCAACTTTCAATTAGCACAGGTTTTGTATTTCATTCTGGAACTGATTGATCGTAGGCCTCACTGATGTATGCTTCTGCGCCTCAGATTTTGAGTGAACATTGACAAAATGATCAACAAATTTAACAAATTTCACAAAAAAAACAAAAACTGACATGCATAAGCTCCGATCAATGAAGCCAACAAGCACTCAGTTCGAAAAATAAATACAAAACCTCTCCTAATTGAAAGAAAGCGTGTTGATATAAAGCTTGAATCCAAGAATTGGTGATAATATAGCATAATGAGAGATTTACAAGCACTTTTTAAAAAAAGGGAACAAAAATTAGATAAAGGATTTTCAACACAGCAAAAGGGTTAATGTAAATATCAATTTTCCAATTATTGGCCATTTGCGGCAAAGTCCTGTCCATTTGAGAGCTTGAACAAATCATCATATAGCAAAGCTGGGACAAAAACACACTGATTAAAAGCCGAATATGTCCCATTCAAAAGCTTTAATAATACAAATAAGGACTCGGAACGGTACTTTAGAGCCTCTTATCTGATGAACATTAAAGAGCACTGGAATCTGCCATAGATTCCCAGTAAAGCATGTGCTCTATTGGCCATGGTTTAATTAGCTAAAATACTGCCATTATTTGTATTATTTGTTCTAAACACATCATTGATGCAATTTTATGACATTATAGGGGAAGATGTGCTTCCCGTGCCATCTGAAAACATTCGCCACTGTGTGTTTGTGTAGCTGCAAGCAGATCTGGTCTCTACCTGCGTAATTGCTGAGACCCTTTCTCTTCTTTCTCCTCCAGTAGAGCCAGATGCTGAAGCCCATCAGAATGACCCAGCAGGCCCCTCCGATGCCCGCGATGAAGGCCGGCTGCTTCACCACATCCGTGATCTGCTCTGTGATGCTGTTGTTCCTGCTCATGATCACATCCCGGAAGTCTTTACCTACATGAATACACACACATACGCAGGAGAAAACCGCTATTTAGTAAACTGAAAATTGTGGGTGAGTTTCTAAATTAGTTTAATAGCACGAGAAAAACATTTGTGCTCCAGTGAACATCAGCACAGAATTTAATCAACTCAACTAGAGCGTTAAAAGCTCATCACCTTGATCTTTAGCATTACTTCAGTGAACAGAACAGATAAAAACTTAAATAAACACAAAATGTTGTACACGAAAACGGTATTCACAGCACATTTAATTTCCTTAATGTGATATTATTTCAATATTCATCAGAAATCATGTTAGATTGGATGGAATTATGTTAAATATTAATGGTTAATATTACGTAATCCCGTCCCACCTCAGCAAAAATTAAAAATAAACAAAACACAACATGCTGTATAAATAACACACAACAGTATTTAAAGTACATTTAATTTCCTTAATGATATACTATTTGAATATTCATCAGTAATACTGATACATGGTTGATATTACTTAACCCCACCCACAAACAAAAGGGGGGCGAGAAAGTTGATAAAGTGTTATAATAACTTTTTTCATGAGCACATTAATTATTTACAATTAAACTAGGGATATTTATTAGAGCTAAAAAAAGATAGCTAAATCAATTTTTGTTTTACTTCAAAAGCTGGTAAAACAGTATTTAAAGTACATTTAATTTCCTTAATGATATACTATTTGAATATTCATCAGTAATACTGATACATGGTTGATATTACTTAACCCCATCCACAAACAAAAGGGGGGCGAGAAAGTTGATAAAGTGTTATAATAACTTTTTTCATGAGCACATTAATTATTTACAATTAAACTAGGGATATTTATTAGAGCTAAAAAAGATAGCTAAATCAATTTTTGTTTTACTTCAAAAGCTGGTAGGACACACACATACACACAAACTGCAGTCTTGATAAATAGTCTATCAGCTCCTGGCTGTGCGTGAAGATGGATAGTGAGCTTGGCATTTGGGAATAAGGGCATGTCACCGGCCAAATCATCACTTACGGGTCAAACCAGTCACAACCTGCTACAACTCACATAACTCAGTGTAAACACCCAAAGACCTGGAGAAAAAAATCTTCAGCCCTGACCGTGAGATTTAATTTTGATTCTGGTGACCTCGTTCAAAACCATTCAATGAATAGTGAGTTTTTAAGATATTTCGGACCATCACAGATAAATGGGTAGATGCAGTGTGACAGTAAAGGTTATCGAAACCAAAAGATGTCCCATACCAATAATGATGGTTTGTGGTTCGCTCTTCACCCCCACCCCTGCGCTGGTGCTGGCGGCCACCTCCACCCGGTACTGGACCCCCGCCTGGAGACCCCCCACCACCACTGAACGGATGGCTGCGTCCACTGTCTTATTTACATGGAAACGGGTCTCGTTCCCTAAACACCAGATCTGAGTGAGAGAGAGAGAGAGAGAGAGAGAGAGAGAGAGAGAGAGAGAGAGAGAGAGAATAGCAAATTGTCTGTAAAAAGTTATTTTTAATGATTGGGCCTCATTAACGAAAAATGTTTTGTGTAAATTACTCGTAAATCCATTTTTATGTAAATTATTGCATTCAATTCAGTATAGTTATTTATGTATGAATGGATTTACATATAATTGATACAGAAATTGTTCTGCTTGTGTTTCATAAATGAGGCCCATTTTAAACAAAAGTAAATAACGTAAACAGTTATCTAGTATGCGCTTCTATCCAAAACGACTTATCGTGCAATTATTATTTATTGAGTTTAGCCACTTGAAACAACTTCAAATGTATTAAATTCTTAGGAAAAATGTACCTACAACTTTTTAGTAACTAGTTCAGATTTCACCTAACCCAATGTGATATAATACTAAATACTAATAGAAAATTATAATATAATATTCAATATTCTCAGAATTAAAAGTGCAAGATTATTTAGATTTTTAGATTAAGTTTCCTTAATACTGTAAATATTATAATATAATGTATATATATATATATATAAATACATACATACATCTTAGTGAACATATATATATACAGTGTATATGTGTGTATATACAGTATATACACACATTTGTTTTCATAACTGAGAGCATAACATTTATTACATTTTCTCCTTATACTGTAAATAATACAGTAATAATAATAATTGCACAGATATATATACTGTATATATACACATTTGTTTTCATAACAGAGTATAAAATGTATAAACAAATTCCTTATACTGTAAATAATACAGTAATAATAATAATTGCACAGATAATTAATAATATAATACAATACAATACAATATTTTTTTCCATAATTAAGAGTGCAAGTCTATTTAGATTTTTATTGCTCAAGTTGCATGTGATTGTTGGTGTCTCTGATGGAGTCACATGGCATTTACCTTATATTCCTGGATGATGCCGTTCTGATGTTCTGCAGGAGGAGGGTCCCAGGAGATACTGATGGATGTGCTGTTCTGATTGCCCACCGTGAGGACCGTCACCTGCTGAGGAGGAGCACTGGGTGCTGGGATACAGAGAGACAAACAGAAACACTGGGTTTTACTTCCATGGCTTCCGTGATGTTCTTCTACACTATTGACATTCTGGACTTTCCAGAAAAGATTTGAGGCTACAGCTGCCTCTGATTGTTTGGCAAGGATTTACGTACATCACTCAACACTCATGCCATGACACACTCTCATCTGTTTCCTCTGAAAGAGTCTGTTGTAAGTCACTGCATTAGCATTTAGAAGTCGATGTGTGTGTTGAGCTTTAGAATGTAAGACAGGTGGCCACGGGTGCACAAGTTCATTAGATGGGGATTTTCTTCAGCTCCTTCACATTTCACTATGATTTCATATCCTGCCTCTGAAAGGAGGGATTTACTCAAAAAAATACATTTACTGAGAGACAATGAGATGGTGAGCCATCCAAACAACTCGGCTTTCTTAGCAAATCGCTCTGACTGGCATGTAGGTCGCTCAGCTCGGGGAGGAATGTGAAGAACGGAAGTATTTTTTTGAGAGCTGGATGAGGAAGAGTAAAGAATGGAGTGCTGGGTCAACATATTGACATGGATACATTGATTGAAGGAGGCCAGTTGCGAATCCAAGACGCTGTTTTGTCCTTGGCTCTGTAATGTAGAAGTCAAGACCCCGGACCGCTGTTTTATTAACCCCATCAGAGCCACTCTGACAGAGACGAGAAGGGAATTAAATAAATAATAGGGGTCTGTAGTGGAAAATAAATTTTTTTTGTAAAAATGTTTTTCTCATTTCTGTGGCAACCTGAGGTGCGGCGACACAGCAGAATACTGACAGCTCAATTACGGTAAACTCTGTTCACTCGCTCTCTTTCATTTCCCTACACTCTGACCCCCAAGTAAATGGCACATATCCCAAAGCTACACTCATCCCTCACACGGGGTGGCCCATTTTAACCCCCAAAAGGCCTGACGGGACAAACGGCAGCTCGCCTTCATCAAACATCTGCAGCTGAACAGAAAAAAAAACAAAAAAAAACAGAGCAGTCGGCCGCTGAATGAATTCAGCACATCACAGGTGACTAAATCACTCCTATAACAATGCAGCCAATATCATACAAGGTTAAAGCTTATTATTATGAACATATGAAAATTCACATTTTTCTTCTTTAATACTGAATGACGTGTATGTATGTATCTTTTTTTTTTACCATAACACTGTAAATATTGCAGTAATCATCACACAGAAAATTCAAATTTTTTTCTTTAATACTGACAAATATTAATTTAATATAACATAATATAATATAATATATATGTATTTTTCTCAGAATTACGAGTGCAATTTGTTTTGGATTTTTACCATAACACTGTAAATATTGCAGTAATCATCACACAGAAAATTCAAATGTTTTCTTTAATACTGACAAATATTAATATAATATAATAGAATATATGCAATTTTTCTCAGAATTACGAGTGCAATTTGTTTTGGATTTTTACCATAACACTGTAAATATTGCAGTAATCACCACACAGAAAATTCAAATTTTTTCTTTAATACTGACAAATATTAATATAATATGACATAATATATGTATTTTCTCAGAATTACGAGTGCAATTTTTTTTGGATTTTTACCATAAAACTGTAAATTTTACAGCAATAATCACACAGAAAATGTAAATATAATAAAATATTAATATATTTAAATCTAATATAATATAAAAATTATAATATAATTGTCACGGTGTGCCTACTGTGTCGGAGCGAGGAGACGTGGGAGAATCCAGAACAACCATAACACTGTAAATATTGCAGTAATCACCACACAGAAAATTCAAATTTTTTTCTTTAATACTGACAAATATTAATATAATATGACATAATATATGTATTTTCTCAGAATTACGAGTGCAATTTGTTTTGGATTTTTACCATAAAACTGTAAATTTTACAGCAATAATCACACAGAAAATGTAAATATAATAAAATATTAATATATTTAAATCTAATATAATATAAAAATTATAATATAATTGTCACGGTGTGCCTACTGTGTCGGAGCGAGGAGACGTGGGAGAATCCAGAACAATAACAGACTTTATTGACAGCAGGGACCACACACGTAGCACACGGAATCGACGTTTAAGACACAGGGCTAAATACTAGAACTAAACGAGGGAATTAACAAGACACACCTGACATCAATAACCAATCAACACGAGGGAGAAACTAGGTCACAGGAGGGAACATGGAACAAGTGGGGGAGGAAAACAAACACCAAAACAGTCCATGGGCGTGACAATAATACAATATAATATAATATGATATGATATGATATATGATATAATATAATAATATTCTCAGAATTAAGTGAGCAAGTTGATTTGGATTTTTTCTTAATACTGTAAGTATCTCAGTAATTAAGTAATAATGGACAGAAAATTCAAATTTTTCTTGTTTATTACTAAATAATAATAATAATAAATTACACAATAAATAAAAATAATAATAATAAATAAATTAGCAAAATCTCTCCTATTTACCTCCTTAATGAGGTAAATATATGTATTTTCTTAGTGCAATTTGATTGGGATTTTTACTGAAAAATATAATATAATGTAATATAATATTTTTTTTTCAGAATTAAGTTGATTTACGTTTCCTTAACACTGTAAATTGTACAGTAATTGATCAAGAAATAATTACACAGAATATTCACATTTTTCTTCTTGAATACTGAAAAACAATATCAGTGTAACTCAGCACGTTGCAGGTGACAAAATCCCTCCTATTACAATGCAGCCAATGTCATTCAAAGTTAATGCCGCAAATCATTTAGAAGCTTATCATTATGCACATTTGAGCCAAACACTACATATTTCTCATTTGGGGAGCGATGGCGCAGGCGATGCTAATAGCGCCATTAGCGGTGTGATGTATAGCCAGCGAGGATGTGACCTCTGTTTCACTGCTGCTACAGTAGCCTGCAGGCGAAAGCTGATGAAAAAACACTGTGAAGTTAAACCAAGCTAATACTGAGACCCCGGGGCGAGCGGCAGGACTTTAGCTTACAGAATGTGAAGAAATGCGACATTGCTTTACTATGCCACTAATCAATGTGTGATAATGACCCTCGGGAAAAAACTCCCATTGAGAAGCTGTTTATTAACCATAAAATGGATTAAAAACACAGAGGAGTTTCTGAAAGGGGGCCTGTTTCACCTATTCAACCTCTATCTTCAAAAAATATGACTATTGCAGCTAATACTAAAGGACGTTTTCAAAGAAAGAGCGTCTTGCATGGCTAGTCAAATCCATCAGTGTTGATATTATATAAGAGTAAGTAAAATATATACATATATAAACATGCATGCATACATATGTATGTTTATATATGTATATACAGTATTTTACTTGACAAAAGCTCTCTCTCTCTCTATATATATATATATATATATATATATATATATGTGTGTGTGTGTGTGTGCGTGTTGTTTTAGTTGCATATATAAATAAAGTATTATGTTGATATATGGTTGCTACACATAAAACAATCATTATCACAATATGTACAAATTTGGGACAAACTATGGGATCTTATATGTATAAATATGCTATAAATGTATAGCTTCATACCATCATCAAGAGAACGTACGTATGTGAAAATTATATATTATCTTATAGGTAATATATATGGCAATATTACTCTTGATATAGGGCAATAAATGTCATATATTACATTTAGGTATGGGTAATAACCTTTTTGGATGACAGTGATCACTAATACCAATTTACCACAGTTTTATTGTGGTAACAATAATCAAAATAATAAAAAAAGATTAAATTATGTATTATATAATAGATTATTACATTAATAATTTCAATAAAAATAAACAATTTATTTTTAATTTAAAACGCTAAATTACAACTTCATTATTAAAAAAATTATTTAATTAAAATAATTAGGTTAATTATTAAAAAATAATAAAAGTATAAATAAATAAATACATTTTAATTTACAATTAAAAATAAATACATTTTTTATTTATATTTACAATTGATCACAGTTTTATTTATTAACAATAATTGCAGCAACTATGGTAAGTTGGGAAGAAGCTATGTTGGTAAGCATGTTCAATTTGAATGAGAGAATTCCCTGCAAAATTTGTCACTTCAGAAGAAGGTCTAAATGAAAGCAAAAACACTTTCACTTTTTGGGAAAGACAAAGTGGGAGAGAAATGGGAAAAGAGAAAAGAAATGGATGTGGCGAGCTCTAGAGAGAAGCTATAATTGTCTAATCAGACAATGGCCAATAAATCATCCTATTCTGTGACTCTGACAAACCTTCTCAACTACCACACAGTGGAAAACAAGAAACAAAAGGGGGCTATCGCAGCCGTAGGCCCCGTGATGCTCTTCTGCCAGGGGACCTGATATTTTGTCTTGCTCTGGTGATGGCGATGACATGCAGGTGTAGGGTGTGAAGGAAGTGCAGCGGGGCTTCAGGAGACAGAGCTGGTGTGTGTAGAGGAGATACGGCTCTCCGCGGACACTCTGGGTAACAAATGAGCCTGTCATTGCGCTCAGACTTTAATCAGCAAACCTTCTGTGCTCGTGTGAGTGTGTGTGAATTTATGTCTTGAGAGTTCCATATGCCGTTTAAACTATTCTCAAAATGTTTTTATTTTTTTTACAAGATTTATGTGTTGTAGCAGCCATCGCTCACACCAGGGAAAACATCTCAAAGCATTGCGGTGAATCCTGGACGGTGGTCCTGCTTGTCTGAGCCACAATTACCTTGCACGATATGTCCTGGGTTCAGTTTTGGCAGGGTCCAAAAATTAAAACGGACCAAACACCAAACTGAGAGCAAAATTTAGCTTTCATGAATGAATAATTACATTAAATAATTACATTAATTTATTTTTACCTTACAAATAAAAATTGTAAAATTAATTTTACATAAAAATAATACAAATAAAATTGTAAATAACTAAAAATTAAATAAATACAATTTTTTATAACAATTAATTAATTTATATAATTTTCTACATACATGATTAAATAATTGCATACATTATATTTACTTACGTTCTTTATGTTTAAAATTTTTCATTATGGTAAATTTTCTATATGCAAAATAGGCTAGGCAAAGACTGGCGGTTGTCTAATGGAAATACAGAAAATAGAAAGAGAAACCATTCTATATAATTGTATTATTTAATTTGAATTGAATATTTAATACATACATACATATTTTAACATTTAAATCAAAATAATGTATTATAATTCATAGATAATACATTTAGTATCAAATAAAAAAAAGAATACAAATTATTTAATGTTTTTTTAACATAAAAAATTTGTATTAATAAAATAGTATTAATAATATTAATATTTGTATTATTAATTATTAATAAAAATATTATTAAAACACATGTATTATTAAAATATTGTAAACATTATTAAAAAGAAAAACAATAATATATAATTAATACATATTATATAATAAAGTATTATATTTAATTTACACAGTGGAAAACAAGAAACAAAAGGGGGCTATCGCAGCCGTAGGCCCCGTGATGCTCTTCTGCCAGGGGACCTGATATTTTGTCTTGCTCTGGTGATGGCGATGACATGCAGGTGTAGGGTGTGAAGGAAGTGCAGCGGGGCTTCAGGAGACAGAGCTGGTGTGTGTAGAGGAGATACGGCTCTCCACGGACACTCTGGGTAACAAATGAGCCTGTCATTGCGCTCAGACTTTATACAGTATTTGTTACGACATTGGCCTAAGGGTGGATTATGTATCACTGGCCCAAATTGCTGTGGACTTAGAGCAAGCTGGAAAGAATCAGCAAGAGATCCAACTCTTGGGCTTATGTCTGCATTTGTGTCTCTTAGTATCTGTGACCTGTACGTTTCAGAAGCATAAGACATCGACAAATCGATTACAAACTCTTGTGACTTGAAAGTCAAAATGAAACGGAACTCGCAAACACATTTTACTTCCATGATGTGAGTTGAAACAGAACAATCTTTAAGAATATAACAAGCTAATTTATGCATCAGGCTATTGACTGTATTTTGTAAAAGACAAAAAAAAAACTGAAACTACAAAAGTAGTTCAAAACAATGCCTAAAAATCTGTTTTACCAACCTGTACGAGTCATGTCTATGTGCATCACAAAAGTGATGATATTTTATTCTAAATGAAAGTTTACAGAGATAAATAATTTATTTAATAAGAAATTAAATGTGGTTCATTCTGATTTCATGTTGACTTCAAACATCACAGATCTCCTGTATCACTTCAAAGAATCAAACGCTGTACCTTCCTCTGTTGTTCTTGCCGTTCGGGACTCGCTGTCCATGCCCTGGAACTCGTTGAAGTACGGACGGACTTTGATCTCGTAGACGATGCCTTTCTTCAGAGCCGAGAGCACCATGCTCCTCTCAGAGGGGACCTTCACATCCTGACTCTGCCACGCTCCAGGGGAGGACAGCCCTGACATCTGCCTGTACAAAACCCTGTAGCCCTGGATGAACTGAGACTGGCGGTCAACCTGAAGGGGAAAGATGGTTCTAACTTAAAAAAGTGCAAAAGACTGGGTAAAATAATTGAAAAAGGAGAAACTCTGCTAAAAAGGCCTAGCTTTGGGTGCTGGTTCCCATTAGGTGTCTTAACTAGCTTAACCAGCAGTGCTTTCTTGGTCAAACAACTTAAACAGAAAAGCAGGTTGACGAGTTTCTACAGATATGTTGGTCCACCAATTAGACAAAAGTCTGAAAGACCAGGGATAGAGACAAGCTTACTGCAGTGCTGTGGAAAGCAGGCCAGTATTGCTTACTACAGTATTTGTTACGACATTGGCCTAAGGGTAGATTATGTATCACTGGCCCAAATTGCTGTGGACTTAGAGCAAGCTGGAAAGAATCAGCAAGAGATCCAACTCTTGGGCTTATGTCTGCATTTGTGTCTCTTAGTATCTGTGACCTGTACGTTTCAGAAGCATAAGACATCGACAAATCGATTACAAACTCTTGTGACTTGAAAGTCAAAATGAAACGGAACTCGCAAACACATTTTACTTCCATGATGTCAGTTGAAACAGAAAAATCTTTAAGAATATAACAAGCTAATTTATGCATCAGGCTATTGACTGTATTTTGTAAAAGACAAAAAAAAACTGAAACTACAAAAGTAGTTCAAAACAATGCCTAAAAAGCTGTTTTACCAACCTGTACGAGTCATGTCTATGTGCATCACAAAAGTGATGATATTTTATTCTAAATGAAAGTTTACAGAGATAAATAATTTATTTAATAAGAAATTAAATGTGGTTCATTCTGATTTCATGTTGACTTCAAACATCACAGATCTCCTGTATCACTTCAAAGAATCAAACGCTGTACCTTCCTCTGTTGTTCTTGCCGTTCGGGACTCGCTGTCCATGCCCTGGAACTCGTTGAAGTACGGACGGACTTTGATCTCGTAGACGATGCCTTTCTTCAGAGCCGAGAGCACCATGCTCCTCTCAGAGGGGACCTTCACATCCTGACTCTGCCACGCTCCAGGGGAGGACAGCCCTGACATCTGCCTGTACAAAACCCTGTAGCCCTGGATGAACTGAGACTGGCGGTCAACCTGAAGGGGAAAGATGGTTCTAACTTAAAAAAGTGCAAAAGACTGGGTAAAATAATTGAAAAAGGAGAAACTCTGCTAAAAAGGCCTAGCTTTGGGTGCTGGTTCCCATTAGGTGTCTTAACTAGCTTAACCAGCAGTGCTTTCTTGGTCAAACAACTTAAACAGAAAAGCAGGTTGACGAGTTTCTACAGATATGTTGGTCCACCAATTAGACAAAAGTCTGAAAGACCAAGGAATATCTCCTCCTTTTCACCTTAACTAGTATTTACATATAACAGCAAGTTCAGCCAATCAAATCCCTTTGATAAAAATGTTCTACATGAGTCATACATACGTACGACCTTGACAAACTCGAAATAAAACATCAATAACAGCAATCATGCAAGATGTAGCCGCTTCGAATGAACATGTTGTGAAAAAAAGCTCAGCTGCGAAGAAATAAACACATATGTACAAGTATATACATACGCGCCAAAAAAAAAAAAAAAACTCAACTTTGACCGTGTCAACATAACGATCAAAGAAAAAACGCAATCTCAAATCAACAAAAAGGTAAACAAGACACTTCATTCGCTGAAAGCCTCATTCTGTTTTTAGTTTGCCGAAGAAAAGTTGTATTTACAGAGAGGAGGAGCGTGTATAACTCACATTAATGCCTTTCTAACAGCACAGTCTGGCCTTTGGAGTGAGATATTAAACATCTGCTTTTCCTCCCTACACATGGAGTAAATCAGCCCAATGGCCATCCTTCCTACGCTTTTTAAACTTTCATTAATTGAATGATTCAGGGTCGTAAAAGCTTTCTTGACACCACCTACGTTTACCGCGAGAGTACTGCTGTATTCAGGGGCCGTGCAGGCCGATGATTTATGGATTATTCATATGAGAAAAATACATCTGAAACAGTCTATACCCCATTTAGGCTGAACAGACAGACGCTTATATTTGTCTCTGTAATGATTGTTGATGGCAATCATTAATATACCACAGGAGAGTGCTTACAAACAAATGTGACACAGCAAATTTTAAAGCAATTCAACAAACAGTAAACACTTTTAGAGTGTTTATATCAATGCTGGAAGACTGCAGTGGGAAATAGAAACAACAACCAAGACGAGTAACAGAGTTAACTTTGTTGGATATCGAATAATATACAGTACATACTGTATAAGTTTAAATAATATACAGCCAATAATCTGTGCCAAATAGCCTAATTCTGTATAGAGATGATGTTTATTCAAATATATGAAGTAAATTTAGTTCAAAATCATCAAATTAGTATACTATAAAATAGCTCATGTCATTCCAAACCTTTCAAAATAAATTGTAATATTTTCTGAGGTACACAAAAAAGTATATTGTTACAAATTAATAAATACATACATACATACATAGTACTTCATTTTATTTCATTTTTAATTTTGAATTAAAGTCAGTGGTGTCCAGTGATGTTTAGGACCATTCTATAGATTAAAACATTCTTCAAAATATCTTCTTTTGTGTTCCACATAATAAAGAACAGTTTGGAACAATATGAGGTTTAATAAATGATGACAGAATTTTTATTTCTGGGTGAAATATCGCTTTACTACTGCATCATGTTCTAGAAACTCAGTCCAATCACAGTTTAGATGCTAAAGCCTCAGTCCAATCATGGTACCTGTACAATAACCTCTGTCCAACAGCAAGTCATGTTCTATAGCCCATTGTCTAATCATAGTTCATGTGTCAAAATTTCTGTCCAATCTCAGCACAATTTACAGACTACAACATCTCTCCAAACACAATTAACATGCTAAAAGCTCTGTCCAATCATAGAGCGCCTTACCGTCCATGTGACCTGTATGGTGGTGGGGCTGAGGACCACAGGGTTGTGTAGCCGCACAATAACCTCACCCAACTCCTTCTGCACGTGTCTGTGATCCACTCCCTGAGCTGGAGGACTTATATCTGTAAAGAGAAACACAGAGGCCAATGCCATTACCTCTTATAGTGCGCAGACAAATTACTAAATTACTGGTCGGAACAGCATAATCCCTTAAATACAATTTAATTCCCTAAAAGAGCGATGAGGAGTCATTTTCACTGACTCCAGCCGCAGACAGCACAGCTTCAACCTTACCTGTGAGGTTACAACCGCCCAAGGTCTCAGAATCAGTCACCCCTAATGAACATATGGAAGACTCTGTGGCACCTTAATCTAATCTTTTTCCAGTCGAAGTTGGTCCTTTTTTCTCCTCGTAATGATCATTAAGGTACCAGCCAGGTCACTAACTCAATTATACACTCCAAATGTAGATGATGTTTGTTCTACATTATACATTAGTCTCTGAAACTAATGAGCGTATGGGACTGTTAGACCCTGTGGTATCTAGACTAGATCTCGTTCTCTGTGAGCAACAGCTAGGATTTAATTGGAAGTTGTTGACACAGACACCATTCACTTGGGTTTCTTACCCAAACTATATACACAATTATAGACAGAGTTTCTGTGAAATACCTTGAGTGCGGACAGGTTCGGACATGGGGCTCGGGTCACTCAGGCCTTGGACGTTGACTGCTCGCACCATGAACAAGTAGATGGTGTTGGGGCGAAGACCCTTGATGGTGTACTGCGTAGTCTTGACATGATCGGCCACAGTCTGCCAGCTGTTGCTCACCGATTGGCTGCATGTAAATGAGGCAGAGTGATGTCAGAGTCTGAAATGTCTTAAAAAATTTTAGTCAGAGCGGATGCAATATACAAGGACAGTCCATTCAAAATGTTGTACCAGCTTGAGCTTGAAGGTCGCAATATATTTTTTGAGGACTTTGTATGTTAGAAATGTGTATAAAGACATATTTCGGTCTGACTTGAGTACTTGACAGGAAAATGAACACATTTAAGGTACAATTCAAAAACAGAAAAGACACTTAAAGGCTAAATAAACTAAATTCATACCTGAAAGCCTCAATAACATATGATGAGATGGGTGATACTCCAGGAAGGCCAGGCTGCCATGACAACGACACACTGTTTTTAGTGACATCGGTGACCTGAGGTTTGGAAGGAGGACCTGAGAGCTCATTCTCATCTCGGGCTTTAACTATAACAAGACTTCCAGACTCTAAAGAGAGGAAAGACATAAAAACACTGAGAACTTGAAAATCACATACACTCTCATAAATAAAGGTTCTTTAAAGGTTCTTCTCTATGGTTCCATGAAGAACCTTTAAAGGGTTATTTCACCCAAAAATGAAAATTCTGTCATTGATTACTCACTCTCGTGTTGTTCCAAACCCGTAAGACCTCCGTTCATCTTCGGAACACAATTTAATATATTTTTGATGAAATCTGAGGGCTATCTGACCCTCCCATAGACAGCAAGGTAACTACCACGTTCAAGGTCCAGGAAAGTACCAAGATGATCGACAAAGTAGTCCGTGTGACACCAGTGGTTCAACTGTAAAGTTACGAAGCTACGAGAATACTTTTTTGCGCAAAGAAAACAAAAACTTTATTACACATTTTCGTCTCTACTGTGTCGCTTTGGACGCGCGTTCATGACGGCATGACGCGAGCGTGTGGCAGATCCCGGAACCCAGATCCGGCGTGATGACACATGGACTACTTTGTCGATCATCTTGGTACTTTTCTTGGTACAAAAATATCTTAAATTGTGTTCCGAAGGTGAACGAAGGTCTTACGGGTTTCGAACAACACGAGGGTGAGTAATTAATGATAGAGTTTTCATTTTTGTGTGAACTAACCCTTTAAAATCTATGGAACCTTGTCACTGAACAAAAGGTTCTTCAGAAGGTTCTTTTATAACAAGATGGGTTCACTAAGAGGTTCTTTGGGGATCCCAAAATGGTTCTTCTATGGCATTGCTATGAAAACACCCTTTTGCAACTTAAATTTTTTTAACATGAAGGTTCTTTATTCGCATACATGTCTCCTTGAAGAATCTTTAACATCCATGGAAGCTTTTCATAACAAAATGATTTTTTGTTAAACGACTTTTAAGAACTGTTCACTCAAAAGTTCGTTGGGGAACTCAAAATGGTTATTCTATGGTTTTCCTGCAAAACCCCCCTTTTGAAACCCCCCTTTTATTTTTAAGAGTATTGTTTGTGAAGTTGCGCATAAGTACCTTTGACTTCCAAGAAAGCACTCCAAGTATTTTTTGTTAAACGACTTTTAAGAACTGTTCACTCAAAAGTTCGTTGGGGAACTCAAAATGGTTCTTCTATGGTTTTCCTGCAAAACCCCCCTTTTATTTTTAAGAGTATTGTTTGTGAAGTTGCGCATAAGTACCTTTGACTTCCAAGAAAGCACTCCAAGATGTTTCCCCACTAGAACTTGCTGCCACACAAGTATAGATACCAGAATCAGAGAGCTGAAAAATAGAAAATAAAAACATGCATTGATCTTTATATCTTCACGTAGTGTGAATTCACTAAACGGCTAATCAATTCGACTCATGGAAAGTTCAAGCTTTCGATCCTAAAGAGATGTAACCTCGGGCAAGTCCAGTTCGGCTAAAGCGCTGACACTAATATGGTAGATATATTCTATTTTCTGCACCCTTCAGCCAGCTTTTATCCTTGCTGGCAAATTCACAAACACACCCACTAACCGCAACGAGAGTTAGACTAATTCATTTAAAGGGGTAGTCGCTGAAACCCTCTGGACCGTTGACAGCTGCCACATGTTCCCCCCTCTCTACCTTTCCGGGACGATCTCCCTGTTGTTTGTTGCCTTTCATCAGGGTGCCTCGCCTCCATTTATTAGATAAAATGTCAGAGGTGGGCAGCACTGTCAGGCATAATAGCTATTCCATCCCGAGCCGACGGGGAGGGCTTGAGGACTTTAAATTCAATATAGCCCTAAAAGTGTGTTTGTTTGTGTGTGCGTGTGTAAATGTGTGTGCAGCTGGAGCCCGTCCAGCCTTCCGTAAATGATTCTTGGGAGAGCTGTCGTATCCCTAAGTGATAGTATCAAACAATTTACCAAAATCAATATTTCCCATTCATCCCCGTAATGCAATATGATTCTCTCTGCCCATCTCTGTTATGTCTTACTGATATCTGATTGAATTCTGCTAAGCTTATACATCACACTTAGATGAAGACGTTTCTGACAAATGGTAGTCACACAAACACACACATACGGTCTTAGAAATACACAATAACAGATACACATCTGGACATTCAGCGATGTATTGGTGACTATATCAGTGCTGGCTAATATAAAAACCGGTCTAATTTGGTCCATGTTGAAAGTTGATGATATATGATGGATGCTACTTTTCTATGCCAATTCAACATCTAAGTTAACTGAATCGCATTAAATAAATAAGCATTCATTCATTAATTTGTCCATCCATCCATCCATCCATATGGATGCATCCCAAATGTATACATTCATTACAAAAATATTATAATAGTATTTAGGCTCACCCGCAAACCCTTGATCTGCAGGCTGCCGAGGTCCTGTAGGGACATACGAGCATCTTTGCCCAGCAGACTGACCCCATCCTTCAGCCAGCTGATGGTTGGGACCGGTTCTCCAGAAGCATGGCACCTCAGAAGAGCCACACTGTCTACACCCAGAGTCTGGTTAGCTGGACCCTGCCGGATGATGGGGGGAGGACGATCAGTCAACACTAAACAAGAGAGAGAAAGAGAGAGGAAAGAACAGGAATTAAGCCTACATGTAGCTATTACTGTTTTAGAAGGGAGGCATCCCAATTTGTATCCTTTGCTGGTGATGTACGGTACAAAAATAAGCTTCAGTTTCAGCTTCACATTTATCAACATTTTTCAACTGATGAATGAAAAAGAGAACTGTCACAAGCACTTATATATATGAGCGTGAATACACACTACAAAAAGTATACCACCAACTTTGAATGTACTGTGATTTGAATCACACTAATCACACTATTTAGTGGATAGCAACTACAGACAACAGAGAGGAGGCAGGAAAAAATTGGGATAAGAGAGCGAGAAAGTGTCCGGAAAACAACACAGGACAGATCTGAAACATTTCCTGTGTGAGTGCAGTGACTCAACATGTCTGGAGCCCATGTGCTAATAACTAGGCAATGGCTCTGAATTAGTTCCTGCTTTTACTACTGAAATGGAAACATTGGAAATTGGTAGCAATTAGCATGCTTGTCCATCTAGAATAATATATTCTCCTCAGATTATGACATCATGACATGAACAGGTCTTCTTCTTACATCATTTGTTGCTTTAGCACAGGACAGCCAATATGTTCATCATTAAAAGTGTCTGAAAACATTAAGATTGTGGTCGTGTCCCGTGTGGCACAGGAAGCAGGATGAAGCCATGATTGCCTTATTCCTGGACGTATCAGGGTTATATGCACATTTTGTGGTCGCACCACAGGGCAGCGTCTACCCCCCAAGCATTCTGGGAAAAACTGGGAGAAACGCTGAGTCTTGGTTTCTAGCTCACTGATGTGGCAGCGAGGTGGTTTTGTAGCTTCCAGTTAGTGCCTGAGATCCTTCATTTAGGAACCAGACTCTGAGTAAAATTTAATGTATTACTATATATCCGACTATCAGAGGCAGTGTGGTCGCTTAAATATCTCATGCTGGTTAAGAGAACATCCCCTCATAAACTCCTTCTTCCACCGTCCTAGAGTGCACAGATTGTTTCATTTTTTGTTTTGCGACGTTTATAACGATGGGTGCTCATGAAAAGATTTCCATCTATTTTCATCTCATTGTGTAGATGCTTTTTTACTGCTTACAGTAGAGGAAAATCTGAAATTTTATGGAGCAAATATAATTATCGCTAAATTGTAAGTAAAAACACTGCATTGTCATCAGAAAGCCTTATCAAACCATGTGGATTGTGGAATAAATAAATAAATAAATCACACAGCACATAGGCATTCTGTTTGTCTTGCAGTTCTCGATTGTCGGCCATAGATATTAAAAAAACGTGTAATTGTTTTTTGTAAGTGTTTTTTTTGGTCATCTGATCCCGTTATTTATTTTGTGTTGGTAAAATCTGAAAACCTGAAGTATATTATTGAAGTATATTATTAAAGCAAATTTTTTTAAATGATTAAAAATAGGAATAAATAAAATGTATATTCAAAATAAAAAAATAAGTAATTATAATATATTTATGTAATAAAAAGTATATAAAATAAATTAAGTGAGATTACATCTCACACTTCTTTATTCTTCATAACCCGAGAATGCGTCAGAAATGGTGCAGTGAAGTATAGTTTGAAAGGCTGCGCGTTCGGCTGTACACATACCCTGAGCCACTTCAGACAGCTCACCAGTAACGCTTCAACGCACGAAAACACACACAATTATGTCAAAATGCACGGTTTTGGCGAGTTAAGCCCCGTTCACACCAAGAACGATAACGATAAAGAAAAAGATATTAGCGTCCACACCAGCGAACGATATCGTCTGTTTATTCTAAAGTGCACATGCATCTACCGCTTTAAATTATTGAGCTCGTTACAGCAGGATGGATTCTGATTGGCTGTCAGTGTTTCGTCGTTCATCAGCTGGAAAAAAAATCGTTTTGAAAGCGATCACAACGATATCGTTCCTCTGTATCGTTATCGTTATAGTTGTGGTGTGAACTATGCTATTTTTTTATATTGAGAACGATTTTTTGAACTATATCTTTATCGTTATCTTAACGGGGCTTTAACCTTGTAAACCGAGTCTAACGGTCCGTTCACACCAAGTACGATAACTATAAAGATAACGATAATGATATAGTTCTAAAAATCGTAGAATAGAATCGTATAGAATAAACAGACGATATCGTTTGCTGGTGTGGACGCTAATATTGTTATCTTTATAGTTATCTTTATAGTTATCGTTCTTGGTGTGAACGGGGCTTATAAGTCTTTTAAATGAGTTATAAATGATCGTAAAGAGTTGGGAGAAAATCAGATATGTGTCAGATCCGCGTCATATGCATCAGGTTTTAAAGAGACAGCACTGATTTTAAAGTGAAACCTGCTGAAGTCTGTCATTGGTGTATATCAAAGAACAAAAGAAAAAGAGAAGTCCTTGGACTGTTCTAGTTGCTGATTAAATTGTATAGCTTGAATAAAGATTAATATATATAGTTTACGCATATATAATATAGTTTATGTGAAGATTGTTTTAAAATCACTTAAATTAAAAGTTGTTATATATTTCAGAGCCTATTAAATGTTAAAAATAATGGCTTTAAATTATGCTGTAATGTTGAATGGCTATAGTTAATAGGGAAAATTGAGGGAAAATGCACCAGCAGGACAAATTAAAAACATTTTAAATATGTTTAGTTATTGTAGTAGTAATAACTGCCTGTTTTTGCAAAAAGAGTTTTATCATTTAAATTTTATCATGTCACCGGCCATTGGCAGGTGTGGCAAAAAGTTAGTTTTAGGCTCTGCCTATTGACGTTTATGGTGATGTCAAGTCACACATATTTATATTACGCTTCATACAATACAGACTGTTTTAAAGCCGTTTCACTGTAATAAACAAGAAAATAATAGTATTCAATTCTTCAGTTATGAAACAAATCAAATTTCAGCTGTAAAGTAGCTCTAAAAAGACAATAGTGTCATTATTCAGCACAGTGTAGTTCTATGATGATTCAATATAGTTCAATAACAGAGTGAATGTTGCAAAGTTAATTAGTTATGACACAAACTTGATTCAAATAAAGCAGCTCTTCAGAAGATAGTCAATAGTAGTGCAAAGTTAATCAAATTATGAAACAAGCTTCATTCAGCTATAAACAGCTTTAAAAGTGGCAATAGTGTCATTATTCAGCTCAATTCTGCTGATTCAATTCAGTTCAATAACAGTATTGATGTTGCAGGGTTCATAATTTTGGAACCAAATTTGATTCAGCTATAAAGCAGCAACAATTGATGTACAAATGGGCATCAAATGCCCCTTGAGAAGTGCCAACCATTTATTTCTCAGACTAATAATAATACAATAATCACAGCCGTGTCTTGTCCCCTGCCCCTCTGTGGACACACTAATTAGCAGGTGTGAATTAATGACCAAAAAGCTGGTGGGTGCTAATTACAGACTGCACCTCTAACCCTTAAATACAGCTTTAGATGCAGTCTTCTTCCATTCTCGGCTGCGTTACTATTTGTCTCACTCTGAATAAAGGATGGTATTTATATTGTCCAAATCTCCATCGGAATGCCTCATTTGGGTTCAGGGATGAAGAGTTGCCATTCTAATTCATCAATGTGGATTACTCCGCTTCGAGATTAAACCCCAGAGTGCTTTGCAGGCACATCCATCAGGCCGGTATAAACCCCAGAGATGCATGCGCGGATAGATAGAGACTGATGAGGCATAATGGCTGTATTTGGATTAAAGCTGCATCCTCTGTACTGAATGAGTCTTTAGTGTTGCACTGTTGCACTTAAACTCGACTAGACTGCAGTTGTTTCCAATCAGCCCAATCTCATCCCTGCTGAAAGGACACATTATATTCATGATCGTTTTCTAAAGAACTGCAGAATAAATAAATAAATACATATTTTTTGCAAGACTTTTCGTAAAGTAAATTTTCCTTTATATCTGCAAGTGCTCTGCAACATAAAAATAAATAAATTAAATCCATATAAATGTGAGTAACTAACTGACTAACTAATCAACTAAATGCATTTGCCTGCTAACTGACTAGTTATTAACAGAAAAAAGTGCATTGACTTTCCTCCTTTTGCAGTGTCTGCTAAGATTAGGCAGTTTGGTTGATGTGTGAGTGTAATAAGACTAAGTCATATGTGTGTTGACGTGACATGATGGAGTGCTGATCATCTGACGGGACAGTTTTAGACAGTGTGAAGGCCTTGGTGCCGTCTGGCAGCAGCCATTTTTCATCAAATCTCTCCTTGAACCTGTCCAGCTCTCTCCGCCACCTCAACAGCCACTAAATCACACTCTTCCTCCAGCGCAGGTGTGGCCGTGACCCTCTTCCTCTTTCATTCCTGTCATCCCTCTTTGCTGTCATCCTCCACAACATCTCACACACACACACGCATTTCTGAGTAAAAGCCGCTTATGGCAGTCTAGGTCATATGTGGTTTCTAAGACAAAATCGCTTAATTGATATGCTTTGCAGTCAACAGTAACAGCCATCAACTTAAAAGAATTACATTTTACTGTTAGACTGAAGATGTAGTTGAAAAGTTCATACAAACTGACTTCTTGCTACTTTTTCCTTTGTAAAAAAAAATCTCTCTTACACAACCCAAAACATGTTTTGTTGCCAAAGCAATTTTTCCATGATCAGTATCTGAAGTTTTCAAGGACGGCTGTTTTCACTCCCTTCTCGAGCTGAAATTAAGTTTTCCTCCTGTCAAGAGAAGTTCACAGAGATGTGCTCCTGTAATATTCAAACGTGAGCGGAATTCAGGGTCGTCAGGCTTGCTATTCATTTCACATAGAGAGGCAGAATCAATGCAGAGCTCAAGGCCACATTCCAATTCAGCTCTTAATGTGGATCCAGCGGCAACAGAAGTGGTTTTCATATGACATCTATCTTTCTGCCAGTACCTTTTGTATGGGGATATTGAGGCCTCCGTTTGTGTCGGGTGTGAAAAGTGTAGGCTGACATATGAATGAAGGAAAATTAAAGAGTGGTGAAAAGAGAACGACAGCGAGTGATAAAGAGCGGAATAATGAAAACAGAGGCTTAACAAAAGTCAGTTAAAATGTAAAAAGAGAATTAAAAAATAAAATATTTAATTCTAATAATTATTGAATTAATCATAGTATTTTACAATTTCTGCACAATGCAAAATATTTATTTAAAAAATCATGGGTGGAAGGAATGGGGAACTTTTGGATCCTTCCTAAACAATTTTATTTTTATTATTATTATTATTAGTAGTAGTAGTATTATTTATATTTAATATATTTATATTTTTATTATTTTATATTTTGTAACAAATTTATCAATAATAAAAAACACAATTTGTAAAATTATAAAAGACATTATAAAAGATCAAATAACATGCAATTTAATTCTAATGATTTAAATTAATTAAATGAATAATTAATCAGGACTGTTTTGAAAAGAACTGAATAATGAAAAAAAAAAAGATTAGCAAAAAAATGTGTGTTGGATAGGTTTGTTATTTGCATTTTTGTTTTCCAATTTTCTTATACTGTATTCCTAACTATTAAAAAAATGTATGACAAATAGTTCAGTTTGTGGCAGCTGCAGGAGATCTTTTAGAAGGAACTGAATTGCTTCATTTAAAAAAAGTCCTGAAACTAAAAACAAAGAAACAGAATGAAACACCAACAAGGTAAGAACTATCCACATTCCCAAAGCCCTGTTGTGGTCCGATCCACCCCAGTGCTTACCGTCTGTGACCTCAAGCTGTGCTTTGGCCAGGATGCTGCCCGCCACCGTCAGGGCCTGGCAGATATAATATCCCGCGTCTGCCCGCTGGACCACTGTAATGGTCAGATCTCCACTGGGCGACACCGAGAAACGACTGTTGGGCTGCTGCGGTTGATTTGGAAACAGGAGGTTCTACACAAACAAAGAAAAGTGAACAAACAAGAAAAGTGTGAAGAGGATTTCCAGGGAAAATTTGCTACCTGAAACCCACCGTTCTTCGAACAGAAACACATGAGGAAAGACATTTTTGCATTAGAGGGGGTAAATTATTATCTGTATTATCAGTTATTAAAATTCTGAAAGTAATTACGGTGGTGTGACTTTAAATTGTGCAACACAATGGCTCACAGCAAATAAAGCTTTTGCTAACAAGTATGCTAAACCAGACTGTGTATATCTCTCACTGTGTGTATCCATTGTGTCCAAATGACTCCAGTAATTGCTTTGGGCTGCATTGTGTACTCACTCTGTCTGACATGGATGTTGTATTTGAAATGAAATCTGTTGGAAAGTGAGGAGGCCAGGTGATTCGAAGCTAATTCACCACCAGCGGCCGGTTTAGACTGTTCGCTAATTACGACAGATAACAAGCTGGGTTCATTAACGGCCATCATTGACCGAACCCTCATATTTACCTCAGATTTTATATCCTTGAGATCCCTCCACTCTTCCTTTCATTTTCTCTCTCTCTCTTTAGATTTCGGAGTCCTCATAGCTGACCGTCAGAAACCGAAAGACATTAGCCGGATTCAATTACACCTAATGACTTTAATGCTCCAAATTACACTCCAAATGATGTTATTTCTTTCTTTCTTTCACTCTTTTTTTAATTAGCCTCTCACACATGATAGATGTTGGGTCCATTATCCTCAAGTGTGACTGAGAGGCTTCTCTCAACGCTAATGACTCAATAACTGCTTTAATTTAGCCTTTTAACAAATACCTTCATATCTTACTTAAGAGAGGAATGGCAGGACAGAAAATGTAATAGAAAGTTTTATATTGCATTTAATATTGGGATTAAGAATCAAATCCTCCAGTATTTCAAATTTTGTATTACTTTTATATGAATTTTTAACTAGCCTGCCATGCTAAAGCTCACTGCTACAATGCTAGCATGTTCTGGGTGGTTGCCAGTTTTGCGATCACTAAGGTCCTTTGGGTGGATGCTAGGGTGACCCATTCCTAGATATAACTTGTATCCCTTCTTCAATATAAGTCTAAGGGATTTGTTCAACCGTTTTATTGTCAATACGCCTGGAGCATGTATGCTAACCACTAGCCCAATGCTTTCACAAAAATAAAAGTAGGTTAAAAAGAGAAAATTGTTCTCTCTCTTACCTGACTTCCTTCTTTCTGCCAGAAGACTGCCGGCTGTGGGTTCCCTTTGGTCTCACAGGGGAAACTGGCAGTCCGTCCCTGCGCCACAATCTGATCCCGCGGCCTGATCACAAACTGCGGTGCGGCTGAGTCAAGAACCAAAGACATTACCATTACACCATACCCTTAGACACAAACACACACTGACACATACACGCTGATCACTGGCAGTCAGTGGGAACGTAAGGCATCCACAGGCATTGACTGCCAAGGTCACTGAAACAGAGCTTCCATGCATCAGCCCGTTTCCAACACCGTTCGGCCTCTTGGATTATCTGTTTGCTTTGACCACAAACAGCAAGGACAGCGACAGCAACCACAGGAAGCCATTCATCCAGGTGGGGCCGCGGATGGCGGTTCTGAATGAATGACGGCAGCTTTCAGGCACAGCCGTGCTGCAGTAACAACACCAGAGGGAGGGGTGGGTCATTCCGGTCAGGACACACGGAGAGGAGAAGCTAAGTGTGGATGCCACACCATGAACTTGAGTGGACAGTGCTTTTGTAAGTGGATTTAAATGCTCGTCTCTATTTACTCTAGCTAAACAAAACAGTTTCTATTCCTGTATCGAAGATAAGCAGAGGTCACAAGCTGGACAAGCTTGGAAAACATTGAATTGCTGTTGGACATCATTCTTTATTCTAACTGCCAACTTGGGTCAAGTTCTCACAAAACTAGATTTTTTTCCCGCCTTATGTGTCACACTTAGCAAAGTATTTTTAACCTCTCAACTCACCCGGCACAGAAACTCAGCCAACATTCCTGCAGAGCACATTCAAATAAACCAATTAAAAGTACCATCTTCCCTGCTTTCCCTGTCTAACCTGACTTTAAAATGGCATCAGAATTCAGAAACAGGGATCCGAACTTTCCCCTTAACATGGAGTAAATGCTACTTTCTCCTTAATGAGAAGGTTAGGGCACCAATCGTCTAAAAAAGGTTTGTCAGAGTCTTCAAAGGCAGGCAATGGCAGCTGGAGCTTGTGAGAAGATAAAATGCTATTGCAGAAGGTACCACTCACATACAGTTAGGGAGTTCCAAGGATGGAGCAAAGGTCTTTATATGGAGGAATAAATGTTTTAGCTGACCTAAATAAAAGAACAATTTGCTTCTGCCAGCAACTCTGAACGGTGACCCTACAATCAATCATTTTTAACCGAACAAAAATAACACAAAATGTACTACTGTTAAAAACTGATACTTTTCAGTCATGAGGTTCACAAGAAGTCACAAATTCAGACCAAAAACAACAGCTACCACGTAATTTGAACATTCCGACGCTGTGTTAGTTTTATACTTGTAGCCACAACAATAAATCTAGATGCAGGACTCCAAACCGTTGAGTTAGTTTAGCAGGGGAACCATTACTCACGGTACGCCCATCTACAAAAGAAAAGGTCTGACAGCGGAAAAAATGCTCTCCTCCTCCATTTTGATCCCTAAATGAGCCCCTCTACTGTCTGTGCAGCTGGCAACTGTGGACAAGAGAAGTCTGCAAGTGTTTGTGTGTTGTTTATGTGGCTGACTGATTTTTGTGAGGCTGTACTTGACTAAGGCTGACACATTCAGGCAAGTTACAGATGGTGGCAGATTTACAGGCTTCCCAATCTGGGCGCACGGTGGCGCGGGCACTTCTGTGAGTTTGGGCATAACACAAAGGCTTTAAATCACAGATTGGCCCCGTTTCATTCTACTCCAGAGCTTTTTTTTGCACCGGAGTGAGCGGGCATAAAAGATGGGCATTTACCCATGCCACTCACTCAAAGTGATTGTTTAATAACTTGAACGCTAAACTTCATTGTGCACTTGAGTGTTAAAGCCCTTTTTGGCCAGGAGGGGAGGAAAAAAAACACACACACACACCCCAAGTCTATCTGTTCCAGAGGGGATTCTAAAGAGTAGAACAAAGCTAGTCATAAATAAACTGTGATTGCATCCCTGAAACATTCTTTAATGCATGTCTGCTGGCCTCTTTTCATTGGGAAGTGTCTGCTGGGAGAATGAGGCCCTGTAAGAGCAGAATAGCTGATCGGCTACCATATTTAATTCATGACGGAGCACATCTGCTTCGTACTGGAGAGAGTTCATGACTAAACCCACTTCTGAGAGCTGTAAATAAACACACATGAGAACAACAGGAAACAAGCATGCACACTCTCTCCGAAATGCACACACAGACAGAAAAATAAACAGAAACTGACATGACTAATCGAACAACTTCGCAGGAGGCTAGAACTTGTTGTTTTAAAGTATTTCAACTCATGTACACCCAGATGGTTGTGTGTGTTAGGAAGACTGCTGAATTATATTCATTAAGCAGAAGCCACAAGTTTTAAGCAATTAACACACTCATAAGCTTTTTTAGCAGAGTACTATCACAACCTATAATCCTATAATAAAGGTAGTTAGTACAGCCACAGGTTAGTATGGGATAAAACTCTTCTTTGTTACTTTGCTATCAAGTTCATCAGGATGGGAAGGGGAAGTAGTGAAGCGGAAACAGGAAGTACTGAACCTCTACAGAGTTAGTTGAAGAGTTGAGCCAGCACACTGTATGTGTGCATGTGTGTAGCAGGAGAGGAGGAAGGAGCACAGAAGGCACACATGCAGTATGAAGGAGTGACTGGGATGGGTACTTACCAACAGGGCGAGCTGAAGACACAACAATGGAGGAGTGAAGACAACAAAAAATGACAAAAGACAGACACAAACAGAAAGGACGAACAAAGAAGAAAGTGAAAAGAATTAAGAACAAAAGAAATCAAATTCAGAATGAACAATGACAATGTGTGTTTTTTAATATATATTTTTTAAATATATATATATATATATATATATTTTTTTTTTTCATTTCAGCACAGCGTAGGTAGGTGGAAATAGATTCCACAGCAGAGATGCAAGGAGTAGAGGGAAAATGCAATGCATTTTATTAAATTTTATTTTTCAACTTCATTGTTGACCGGAACCTTCAAATAATCATCACAAAAATGCTCATCTGGACTAGCACCATCCGGTGGCAGACATATTTAATGTTTATTTTTATTGTGTGAGAACGTGGACAGCTAAGAAAATCAAAATCAGCACTCCTGTCTCTCCTCCATAACTGACAGGTATCTCTATTCATATGAAGTCTTTAAAATCGGGGGCTCGTCCGGGATACAATTCAAGCTATGAAATCTGCTTCACCTGCCATAACGAGGTCTATATACACAGCTCTCTGTGAAGAAGCTGAACCGGCAAGACAGAATATGGGCAAAATAGACGGAATGGCCAAGAGAAACTAGCTGACAAAAAAGCAGTTATTATTATTTAATGCAGCAGTGGAGCTGTCGAAGAGGCTGATGCCATATTGACATTAAGATGGAGAAATCACGCTCAGAGTGCTGTCCTCTCCTTCCTTCCTTCCCTCCTCTGTTTCTCTGTATCTCTCTCTCTCTCTGGAAAGTGAGCTTGTGTAAAAACCCTCCACTCTGCATCCCCACACATCCCTTCATGGCTGAACTCTGTCTGGTTGTAAATCCCGCTTTCAAAAGGGCTGAAAATTGACAGCTGTCCCCATTGGCAGCTCCAGACCCCTCCTGAAGGCCACTGACCACCCCCCACCCACATGAGGAGCCTTCCACAGTGCATCTAAGCAGGTTGTTTTAATGTGGTGAGAAGAGAAGGGAGACTGAGAGGAGGTGGAAGGGGAGAGAGGGAGATTATGGCGAAAAAAGAAAAAAAGAATTATTAACCTTGCCCACCCGAGCTGGGCTTTTCGAGGTTGGTCTGCACCAGTAAACTGTGAAATGGTTTTGCTGGTTTGGGCTGGAGTGCCACAGTGGAACTGAGGAGATAGCATGTTTATGTGTGTGCAGAGGGGGGTTGGTGGCCTCCATTCTAGGGGGTGTAAATAATAAAAAAGGATTGGTGCCTTGGGCAAGATCCCCGCCCCCCACCTACCTAAATTACACTTCAGGAGTTCATTTGAGACCCGTCAGGAGGTTATCTCACTCTTTTAGACTGAGACTACACCAAAAATACATTACACTGCTATTGATTTCCAGTAAAGGGAAACCTTATGATAAAGCCAAATAACCAAGATCAGCACAAATGCACTGTTGGGTCTCTGAGATGCTCTAATATTTGGTTTTGTTTGTCAAATAAAAAAATGAATTAAAAAAATTATCCAATCTGTTTTTTTCTTTTTTCTCTCTAATTTATCCCTTTAACGTATTTAATCTATTTAAGCCCTTAAACAGGTGGTGCAATTTAGGAATCCAGCAATCAATAATTATAATCAAGTAATCAAAAACAGTAATTAGTAATCAATTATGCAATCAAAAGCATTCGACTAAGCTGATTGTATGAGTTGCTTTGAAACATTTGAATGAAATGCACATTTCTGAAGGCAACCAACCACCCTGTGAGGCTGGAAAGATGTAAGCAGTGTCATTTAACTTTTGTGGTAGACTTGGATACTCAACTGACCTCTGACCGTGAGGGTGGTGGACGCCTCCGTTTTTCCAACTCTGTTCTCAGCTACACAGGTGAAGGTTCCTTCATCGCTCGCTGCTGCCTTCTTTATCCTCAGCACATAGTCGTCTTTATCATATTTAATATCATACCTGAAACACATATGAACAGAAGATGAGTTTAGCAACTAGAAACAACTTCTGATGATGTGATAAAGTACAGTATACACTACTGGGTTCAGTAAGACTTGATTTATTAGATATAAACTAGACATAAAATACTTTTATTGAGCAATGATGCATTGAATTGATCAAAAGTGCTATATTTCAAATAAATGCTGCACTTTTGAACTTTCTATTTTTTTATGTTTTTTTTTTTCTTTTTTTTTTTAAATATAATAAATGCAACCTCAGTAAGCATAAGAAACTTATTTTTAAAACATAAACAAAATCTTACCAACCAACCCACACTTTTGAACGGTAGTGTATAATACATAAGATATATTAAAATTATCATTAAATTTGATAACACATCATAGCAGACGCTATTTAGAACACCATATTAGGAAAATCTGGTATATTCAGAGAAAGAGCACTGTATAGAAACACTGCATTTTTTATCACTGACAGAGAAAGATCAATTATTCAACAATGACACACACTCTACAGAGGAGGAGGAGGCTTTCAACTGGAACCGCAGATGCTTCCAATATTTATGAGGCATCCGATGTGTGTGTGTGTGTGTGAGAGAGAGAAGTGGGCGTATCTGGGAGCTAATCATAAAAACAGGCCGATTCCAGGTCAGACTGAACAGAAAGGGATTTGAGATGTAGAATCCAGCCTTATTGATCTGCACCTCTCTGGCAGCTCCTAGGTACTTCAGCAGCACTATGTCCTGGAAACTGACAGCCAAAGGTGATGAGCTGTGTGTGAGGTGAAAGTGTGGTTGACAGGCCTTGCAAGTTGGTCTTCTTTGTAGTATTTTGCTATAATTGGGATTTCTGGAGAGTGTATGCATGTCTGTGAGCAAGTGTGAGAGGGTGTTGTGCCATAGCGGTGACAGCTAGAAAACACTCTGTCTGCTGTCTGTCACTCCAGATCTGCCCTTCCACAGGAAGCAGGGCTCAGAGAGCACGCCATGTGGCGCAGGAGACAGGCTGATCCCTGACATGAGGACCAATAAGACCAGAATTATTCTTCTAAAGACTGCTGTTTATGAAGACAATATACAGTCAAACCACAGAATGTATGTTGCTTCATTAAAAAAAAAGGGGAACCAGATGAAAAAAGGGGGGACCAGAATAAGGACCAAGAAGAATATTTCACCTTAAAATGAAGAGAAATATATACAGTAGAAAGAAAATTCAGTTTATTTGTGTTGTTTTTCTTTTTCTTTTTGTTTTAGAATTCACTTTAAATTATATATAGTGTAAAACGGTATAATTTAATTTAATTTATATATATATATTATTATATATAATATTCTATATATGTAAAAATATACAATTTAATATATATATTCGCATTACAGTAATAATAGAGTTTTATTTATTTAATTATTTATTTATTTATGTATGATCAAAATAAAAGTATAAATATATATTATAAAATTATAAAATTACAATATTATTTGATTTTGGAACTGAAATATAACCTGGCCATTCTCAGCTTTCTAGAGAATCACTCATAATGGGAAAGAAAGAAAGAAAGAAAGAAAGAAAGAAAGAAAGAAAGAAAGAAAGAAAGAAATCATTAATTTTCAGCACTATTTTAGCTATAGTCAGATTGCTTTCCTTGGTTACGTTATTGCATGCGTTGATCATATATGTAAGGTCACAAAGTCCAGGGTCACTTCAGGTTTAGGAGAATAAAGCTGATACTGTTTGAATGAAAACAGAAGGAGAATGTCACTGCACAGAAGCTAAACATTCCGATCTATCAAGTGTCTTTCTGACAGAGCCTGAGGCAAAGTCTGATGTGATTGGACGCAGAGAGAGAGAGAGAGAGTGAGAGACGGAGGTTAAGAAACAACATAAACAGATGCGAATCAGATGTTCAACCACTAAGACTAAATATTGCATGAAACAAGCCTGGTAAAACCATGTTCGCGATGGCGCAGATGCTGATGGCTGCCTCCGTGACGTGCTCCGCAGTTGTTTTTGTTAGTTTGTCCTGTCTTTAGTTATATCCCTGCAATCAGTTTCACCAGAGACTAATTGCTGGACATTCGGAAGTACACACCACCCGATGTTTCACCAGTTTTCGATTATTCTGATGTTTTGCTGGACATTGTAGTCGGGGGAGCTGCGGCGCTGATCAAGCGCTTCAGGACGCGCAGACGGGGGAAGCGAGCCGGCACCCTCGTCAAGCTCAGGCAGCGCGGATTCAGGACGCCGTTGCCTAGCATCCATCTGTTGAACCTCCGCTCTCTACCCAACAAAACGGACGAACTCCTTCTGCTCTCCCGGATAAATAAGGATTTTTCAAACTCTGCTGCTCTGTGTTTCACGGAAACCTGGCTGAAAGACGCCATTCCGGACAGCGCGTTGAGTCTCCTGGGCTTTCAGCTGTTCTATATATATAAAAAATCCATACAAACAAACTGAATATGAATAGGGTTGCAAAGAGGCAGAACATTTCTGGTAAACTCTAGAAACATTCCAGAATATTTGGAAACTTTGGGGATAATTTAGAAAATGTTTGAAAACTTTTGGGAAAATTTTCACCCCTTTGCAACCCTAAATATGAATAGTTCCTGACTGTCATTCTCACCTTTATCCTGTTATCCTTCTCATCAAATTGGAATGAATGAACGAATGAACGAATGAACGAATGAATGAATTAACAAATGAACAAATGAACAAATGACAAATGAACAAATTAATAAATGAATAAATGAACAAATGAATAAATGAATAAATGAATAAATGAATAAATGAATAAATAAATAGTTCCTGTGTCTTCTGTTCTCACCTTGATCCTGTCATCCTTCTCATCGATTCGTACTTTGTCTTTCTTCCAGTAGATGGTAGGCTCCGGGTGTCCACGAGGGGGAACGCACTCCAAGATGGCCGGCTCTCCAGCAGCCACCACCACATCTGTAGGGTTCTGTCTGAAATCATCACGTAACACTGAGAGAGAGAGAGAGAGAGAGAGAGAGAGATTAGCTCGTTCTTTAACCATTTGCAAATTTAGTCATGCTTACATTCCCCGAGGCACAAATAAATGTTCTTTTGTTGCTGAAACAGATGTCATTTCATTAAGTCCTCTAAAATGCTAACACACTCCAGCAGTGTTCAAATGTTAGCTCCCATTCAACAGGGTGCAGAGAGACACCTGTTTGAAAGTTCTGTTAAGTATTTTGAGGTCACGGGAACGACAGGCGCAGTAAATCATGCTGCGTGTGAAGGCATCCGTCTGCAGAAGGGTATGTATGAGTTTTATTTGATGGGGTGATTACAAGAAAACCTTAATTGAACTTAATGGGGTTCCCTATCGAGACAGGAGAACAAACAGAGAGAGGGAAGAGATATTGTGCCCTCCAGCTTTCTGTCACTCATATGCATGCAGCAGAGGAACGTATGCGAACACACACACACACACACACACACACAGTCAGTGGGTGGGCTGGTAAATCAGTGCCAACTAATCACCCATGCACACCCTTTTATCACAACCTATGCCTCTGGCCATGACTAATGTAGCAATAAACACGACAGCAAAAACATACATGAGGTCACCCAATTATCAGCAATGAATAAATGCAATGAATTAATAAACAAATCTCTACACATCTTCACATTCATCTACGATGCTTTATTAATAAATTGGGTAATTATACTCTAGTGCTGACCTGTGAGGGACCAAATGATAAATCTGTCAAATGATCATGCAATAATAGAGAAAAATGCTCTCGACTTGTCTTAGTTACGATTTATGAATCAGATAATGACTTAATTTGATTTAATAAATTCATTGTGAAAGAGAGCACTCTGATTTGAAAATCGGATTGGATAATTCATGTTTAAAGCTGTTCAAACTCTAACTCTGGTAGAGTCATCCCTGAATTAAACATGCCATGGAGTTGCTAAAGTGTTTCGAGCAGTTGCTAACATGTTGCAGTGCAGTTGCTAGGGCATTCTGAATGGTTGCTAGGTTGTTGCTCAAAAGGGCACACTAACAAGTCTCTATGATATTCTGATCTCTTAGATATACTGTAGCTCTGGTCCTTCACCGCAAGTCTGTGGCTTTTTTCAATCACTTGAAAAAGCAATAGCACATCTCTCCATCACTCAAGGGCAACTCACATGCTGAAGTTTGATAGTTAAAGTTAGTGATTTGTTCAAATAAGTATAACGCTGTAAAATAAGACAAAGCTCTATGTATGTGTGTAATTTTACAGACATTCAATACGCATAATTAAATTTTCATCCCTCCAAAAGCCTCGACTTCCAGCTCTCTTACATGTTTCTTTCTCTCTCTCTGGGTGCGATGAGCCTCTCGATCTTCCATCTGATTAATATTTATGTATTGTTCGTCTCCCTCCCCCGCACGCTAGCGAGAGCCGCATCTGTCTGTCAGGCTGGAGGCTAAAGGAGAGGCTTATCTGCTGAATATTCCTCCGCCACCCTCCTTCTCTTCCTCCTGGAGGACGGCTGGTAGAGGTGGAGAGGGTGTTTTAGGGCTACATTGGCAACTTTGCAGTTTTTTTGGCTAGATTTCAAAACTTTCGGTGCTAAGTTAAGGGTTTGCGGTGGAAAAGTGTAACAGGAGATGATGCAATGGAAGGAAGCCAAGAGGATCATTAAAAAAGGACAGATGCTACTTTGTACTTAAGTGTGTTTGGAGTTGTCAGATATAGTCAGTGCCAAAGGCAATTAAAGGGCCTGATATTCTTGAGTTTTTTTTATTTCTTTCTTTATTTTTTGCTACATGTTTGGCACGTTAGACATCTAAAAAACAGCATGTCCTTGTAACAAGATTGCAAATGTGCTCTAAGATTGCACTACAGTCTAAAAATCTGTAATATGACTTATGTGAAGTAGTGCTACTTTACAGCTGAAACATTTATTGTTTATATGTTGTTGACTAAAAAAGGATTATTAAAGATCCTAAAAAATAAGATTGTAGAAAACTTTAAATTTGTTCTTTTGTAACACACACACACACACACACACACACACACACAGGTCTATATGAATCTTAGATTTTTAGACTGTAGTACAATCTTGCACATAAATTTTTTTTATAAGGTTGTGAATTATATAATATTAATTATTCCTTACTAATTACTATTACTTTTAATTATATATTCATTATTTTAGAAATTGACTTTTTTAAATAATGTTTTCTATCATATTAAAATAGTTTTATAATTTTTTTACAATTTTTACAGTTAACCTCATTACAATTTACTAATTTAAATTATATAATTTATTAATTTAATTTATAAGAATTTTATCATTTTAAATTCTAAATTTCAAGGTGTAAATTATTAACTTGACTATAATATAATTTTACATTAAAAAATAAAGGAATCATTTAAAAATATATAATAAATGTTAACAATATAATATGATATGATATATGATATGAGATATGATATGATATAACTTTACATACCAGACATACAGAAATACAATACTAATCAAATTATGTCAAGATAATTGGCAAGACCACACACACAAACCTGTGGAGTGGATAATATGGTAATGTACACATATAAATCAGTTTGTTTTTACCATCGTGCACTGCAGTGCTGGTAGCTTGTGTCAGCATCAGAGCCGGCAAAGGTCAGAACGCAGTGGGATTACAGCACAGAACTGGCCTAGAGCAATATCACACTCCTACTGCACTTTATAACAACAACATACTGATCGAGAGAGAGAGAGAGAGGTACAGAAAATGATTGTGGACAGATGAGTGTTTTCCCAGTATGCTATAAGCAGTGATAGCATTTCATTTGAGTGCCTCTCAAAAGTGTTCACTACAGTTGATGCTGTGTCTGATGTGGCTCTCGCATGAAAGAGTGTAAATATGTCACTTTCAGGGAAATAGCACTTTTTTAAAATAGCGCTGCCCCTGGCTCTGTTCGTATACATGCCTATGTGTGTGTGAGTTACAGGCAAGAGTAATGTGAAAATGTGCCCCAGTCTGTAGTTGGGAAGAAAGCTGTTCCATTTGTTTGCAGTATCAGTCCCGTTATGAGCTCAAGCCCCAGTGATCCCTGTAAACCCCATCTACACACCCGCACACTGCAAATAAAGGCCTCCAGACACACACACACACACACACACACACACAGGTTTACATTTGTGAAAAGTAGGGACATCCCATAGGCGTAATGGTTTTTATACTGTACAGACCGTATATTCTATTGTCCTACACCAACCCTACCCCTAGGAAACATTGTGCTATTTCAGATTTTCAATACACTCCATTCTGTGTGATTTATAAGCGCTTTGAAAAGTGGGGAAATGGGGTAATGTCCTGAAAAGTCACCTTCTCCTTGTAATACCTCAATCATTTGTCACAAAAACGCGCGCACACACACACACACACACACACACACACACACACACACACTTCTTGTCTTCATCAACATCATCATCTTCACCCTCCTCCTCCTCCTCCCTAAATGCTATACATACTAGCATACTAGCATTAACAGCTGCACAAACATTGCTGCCTCTATCCCACAGCCACTCACACATTATTCTCGCTAGTACAAAATCTACTGAGAATCTCGGTCACAGCACATTTTAACTGTCCATTCATGTGCAAACATGTTTGTGAAATTTAAATGTCGCTACAAACATGTATGATTTTCTTCCTTTAAGAAAGTAAAAGCAACTTTTAGGATGCTTTTATAGTGTTTTGCATAATTCTTTAAAGCTCCGGTTTCATTGCAATTGCATGTAAAAGAGTGACAATTTCTTGTATCTTGTTTGATGGAATATAAATACTGACAGACTGTTAAATACACACACACACACATATATACACACACACACATACATGTATATATTTAAAGTTGTAAATAAAAACAAGTATGAGGATGTTTTACTTTCTATCTAAAAATGTCATGCATAATTCAATGTTACTTGCATGTCTTTGTAAATATTTTTGAAATTTACTAGCATTTTCTAAGTGAAAATTGTCTCAAATTAAATCAACACCTTTGTTTTTTTCTCTCCTTTTTTTTGTTCAGTGCAGAATTTACATTTTTGGGTAAACTATTCATTAAAAAAAAAAAAAAGGATAATTGGAAACACTGTAAAAATATATATTAGTGAGAATATTAGTGTTTTACAAGAAAATACTACTTCAGTTTTTTTTTTATTTCAAAATTTAATTCAACTTGCGTTTCTCTGTAATTGTTTGTGAAATTTACTAGCAATTTCTGAGTGAAAATAGTTTCTACACCCAATTGGTTTTAGTGCACATGTAACAATATTAGGGCTACAATGTAGCAATTACTGTATAAGTAGCTTAATTTTACAAAAACAGAAGGTCAAATGGAGGTGTATGTACTGGCAAGCAAACACCTCTCACCTTCAAAAGCCGCACTTCCACCGTTAGCCTAACAAGACTGCCGCTAGCCAACCAGCTAATGACTTCCGCCCCATGCTAACGCCTCCGACTGGACCCTTGGCTCCGGAACACAAGCTCATCACAAACAATATAATTAACTCTTAATGAACCTCTCTGCTCGTTGCTCTGTCCTCTATGTGCACTTCCCAAATTCAATTTAGCCTAATCCCGGGCTTTATGGTAATGTATAGCTCATTAAAATGTTAGCTAAAAACTCATTAAAATTCACTCAAAGTAATAGCTTCATTACTGTGATATTGCTGAAAAGCAAAGACAAAACGAGGAAGATGGGGAGAAGGAGAGAGGAATGATGAGAGAACAGGATAAAAAACAGAGAATGGCGGCTTTCTAATCACTTAATTGTGACTGAAAACAGCATTCATTTGCATAATACACACAGACACTAGGTGGCTAATTTTCACTGTGACTTGGAAATTAAACACCCCTCATAACTAAAGACACAATTCCTTCCAAAAATCATTTAAGGAGGCACTTCTGGGTCTGTAAAGAGATGCCAAATGTCTCCATCTTCCTGTGT